CTACTGGGAGTGAGGTTCTTTCCCAGGGGACTGTCTGACATTTCAACCAGGTCTGACAGGTGGCCTTTGACATGGAGTCAGTGGAGGCCAAGAGTAGTGGTAAACCCGAACAGAGCAGATCTACTCCAGAGAGCCACCCAGCCTGAAATTCCAGTGGTGCTTGGGGTGGAGGAACCCCTAACTAAGAAACTCATGACAGTCTTTGTGTCATCATGAAATAAGCAGCCAGCAAAACATTCCAGTTGAACCCATCTGCTCATCATCTTAAACTGCATTTTACTTCTCTCTTTGGCTCATTCTTTTTTTGCCCTGACCCTGGAATTTTATGGTATTCTCTTCTGTGCATGCTAAATGTCTACAGCAGGGAGAATCATCTCAAATGGTTCTTACATCTCAGCCACAGCAAGCAAATAAGAAAGAGGACAATTAATAGGAGGCCAACAAAAGACCAGCATTAATCCACAGAATAAATCCTTGAGGTTCAAGTGAAATGGCCTCTCATGGTGGAAATATTAGTGTTTTTTCTGGAAGTTCTAAATCAGTATCCAAGCCCATAACAAACTCAGATGAACTCAGCCCCTCTTGGCTAAATACACCCCCCCCCCCACACACACACACACACACACACACACACACACACACACACACACACAGGAGCATGCTGGATTTCATAAAATGATTTTAATAGAAAGTACAAGATATGAACAAAAATAAATAATCTTTATCTCCTTTCTATCTCATCAAATTGAAAACCATATAAAAATTGGTCTAAGATGCAAATCCCTCTTTTCTTTGGAAACATTGTAAGAGCTTTTACTCAAACTTCTAGATTGGCTCACACCAAACTTTCATTGCATCTATATTATAAAGCTAGCTAACAAGGTGTTTCTTCAACATAACGCATCATCCAGTCATCAGACTTAAGTGTAAACTCCATGTTAATAGGCAAATTAGAAGATCCTTTTTATAAGTTTTAATCCTTATATCTCTAAATGTTTCTGCAATTTAAAAAAAATCATCATCTTAACTTTCACAACATGGCATCTTGTTTACTACTCCACAAAGACAGGGAAGACTAGAAAATACTTTTCAAGAAAATAAATATTTTAAAGTGTGCTTTACAGTAATTGCACAGTGTTTTAGAGCTGTTTGTTCATGCTTGTTTGCATTAAATATGTATTTGAAATTACAAGCAACTTTGCCATCCCCAGCCTCTGCTTATACTTCAGTTTTTATAGGTGGATTTCAATACTGATGGCTTTAGTCAGTTAGTGTGGTTCTTGTCCACAGCTTGTGTCATCCTGCTCTCAGGCCCTATCTGAACGTTCTGGTGGCTTGAATAATATTGCAGAAAAACACATTGGAAATTGCTGTTGGGAAAAAATCTTCTGAGAAAGAATGTGGACAGGCAGCTGCTGTCATAGAAAGTGGCAGCAGGGAAGGTCAAGAGCACAAAGAAACAGGACTGGGACAATACAGCCTTGACCTGGAGCCCAATAGTGACCATTTTGAACATGGTTCTGTTTGCTACTGCCTGTATATAAATGTTTCATTGATGTTCCTGCACTGGGAAGGTCTTGAATGCTCTCCAGGATGGGAAGAAAAAAGATGCTGACATTGCTACATTGAGTATATGTTTTAGCAATAAAAAACACTGGTCAATATACAACTGAAGAAAAACTGAAACAGATGTGACTCCTAGAACCACAAGCCTTTGAATTTGCCCAGAAATGCTATTTTAAACACTCTATATGTTGGTCTACTGTTTTTTCTTTTTTCTTTTGTGGAATAATGCATTCTTGGTTTCCTTTAAAGGTTTCAATATGTTACAAGGTTATCCAGAAAGAAAGAAAGAAAGAAAAAACAAAATAAAAGGTCAATGGGGCTAACTAATGTGTCAGTCTGCACAGGCCTGACCAGATTCTGGGATTCATTTCCAGAAAGCAGGAGGCCTCTTATTAATTGCACATCACACAAGGAAACTTTAGTTCCCATTCTCTGCAGCTTCCCTTTCATAAAAATTGCACCCACTCAAATGGGCACAGAGATGCCCCACGTGCCCCACGATAAACTCCAATAGAGAGGCACAATAGTTGCAGTGGTTAACACAATGATATATACAGACATGCACACACACATTCTGTGTGTGTATGCGCGCGCACACATGCTCGAGAGCGCTACAAATCTTGTCATGGATGGAAGCATGAGCTTTTTTGGTTCATCTCTGGGATGTTCCAACAGCAACACACTCTAAAACAATTAAGTCGCATGCATAATGCTGAAAGAATGTGAGTGAGCGATCCTGTGACCAGCTTTACGCCATCTGCTCAATTCCTTTCTCTCTCTCTCTTTTTGAAGGAACACATATAGGAAAAGAGAATTCCGTTTTTGTTCTGTTGCATATAGAGCTCTTTTGAAGCCTCCAAATAGTTTGGTTTTAGTCAAATTGTCTGCTCTTGAATTATTTGAGCATGTAGTGGTCCTAAGCTATCCTGTGGCTTCTCCTAAAAATATTTCTCCACATGAATTAGCTGAAGGACAACTGAAACCTCTTACCAATATACAAGTAACGTTTTATTTTATATTCTATCTTCCATTGGCATAAGCCTTTTGATGTTTTTTTTTAAACCAGTGAAATATACAAATCACACAAGACAGAAATATGTACATTCAAAGTACAGAATAAAGGCCATAGGGGATATACAAAATATCTGAATGACGCCTAGAATATCTTACATTAAATAGTTTTTTTTTTAAGCTAGGATTGTTAAACTCCACTCTGCTCATAAACATGAATCACTAAAAAAAGAACACAATCTGATTTAGCAAATATAAAAAGCGTACTTCGTGGTTTTTGTAGAATAAAAACCAAAAAAGTGACATTTTAAACTAAATTAGTGCTTTTTCATTTCAAGATCTTTTGCTTGCGATTCATTGTTGCTGAGGGGAAATGAATATTTGGGGCAATAAGTTAAGAGCCACAGGGCTGAGGTAACCAGAAGGCTACCATGCCTATGAAGGGAGACACATCTTTTCAAACCTTGAAGAACAGCCTCGGGCCAGACAAAAACACAGCAGATGCCACTTTTGAAATAGAGGTGCCCTTATTTTAAAAACATTGTTTAAACTAGCTAGCTATGTGGTGAACTGATCAGCCTCAGGAACTCAGGTTAGCCCTGTCAGACAGGACAGGCACAAGTCCTCACTGAGAAATGAGTTAAGCAAATTAAGACAAGGCTGGTGCTCCTGGGTTCTGAGGGCCTCTCAAGGTCCGCAGCTGTGACAAACCACAGTGCCCTCCCCACAAAGAATACCAAAGAGAGGGTGGAGAACTGGGGATGGGCAGGAAGCAGAAAGACAACCTTCTAACCAACATACATTTCAGGACACCAGCCCTGAATGCTTCTTCAGAGTCTAGCCTGCTTCCTGGTGTTCGTGGTAGAATCCCAGAGAGTCATATGCCAATGTCAAGACTCAAAATTTTGGAAAAAAGAAATCCCCATGGGACTTAAATGAAGGACAATGCACCAGGCAGAGAGTAAGCCCAGAGCAAACTGTAAATCTAAATCATGGACTGCACTGAAATATAGTTATATCTATATTTATATATGTATATTTATATATATATGTTATGTACAAAAGACTGAGATATCAGGCACCATTACACCACTCCCTCCCCCCTTATAAATGCAACTGTTCAAGTACACTAGGAACAGTTTTGGCATACACCTGCAGGATAATAGGAAAAGCACAAATGGATAGTCTAAACACAGGATTATAACAGTCTCAACACCTCTGTGGACTCCTTGGGCCAAGTAATATCAGCAAAACACATGAAGTTACTGAACCTCAAAAGAAAAACTTTAGAGAAAAAAAAATCCCCAAGTAGCTGTTTTTGAGCATAGCTCCTCATGTACATGTCCTGCCCTGCAAGCAATGAGTGTCCACCGGAGTTGCCATTTAGATGTGTGGCCAGCATCACATAGGGCACAGAGAGTCCAGAGAGGGCTTGGGGTCAAGTAGGAAGGTGGCTGCCACTTTCTCCTCAAAGAGGTATTCTGCCCTTCTGCAATGCTCAACTACATGGGACTTCTTTGTTATCTGGGGAGAGGATCTGCAAATGGAATGCATGGGTAATTTTCATTTTTAAGACAGAAAAATGGCTTTCAAAATGAGTTAGTTTCTGGGTCAAAATCCCTTCCCAGACATGAAGTCTGGTATTCACAGAATCAGCTGGGGCTAACACCATAAGATTATGGCCTCTATGTAGGAAATTTCAAGTTTTCTAATTTCTGGGGACATCCAGCCTACCAGCCTACCAGCTCCCCGGGTTTCACAAACTATTAGAAAAAGGCACATCCATAAATGCAGTATCTGTAGGTGGGCTATAATAACACACATGATATGCCTACTTACAAAGATATGATGTTCTTGCTCTTATATTCTAAAAGGTCATTCTGAAATATTAAAAGCAGGCAGCTAATCTCTGGAGTGGGAAGTATCTCATATTCTGTATTTTTGGCATATCTGTCTATTTAATATATCTAAATTTAAGATTTTTGTCTTATACCAGAGCATCTGCATTTCATTTTGGCCATAGGAACTGAGTCATTCATGGTTTGTACCCGCCTCTTTCACCTGGGTATCACCGTCCCAAAGGACTCTATATTTGAGAAGAAAATAGTTCCTAAACTTCAAGATGTGAACCCCAGCCACGCAGCTAGGTTGGAATATGTGTTATTTCCCCTTTATCCTTTAGCATCAGAAGAAAGAAGTTTTATACTAACTTTGCAAAGATTCGTAAAATAAATATTTTTCTTGATTTCCCCCACTATTGCCAAATATTAATTATAATATTAATAATAAACCACAGAGTTCTTAGATGGTAACAGAAAAAAAAATATGGTTCCCGCTGCAATTCTTGGGGGAAAATAAAAAGAACCAGAATCTATAAATAAGTGGGTCCTGGGAATGGGGCTGGGTGATGGGCAGGCACACCACTATTTGCACACGAACTGATCCACAATCTCCGTGCACTTCTTGCACTTGACATAGCAGCACCAGTGAAACTTGCAATGACAGCGTTCAGTCTGCACCGTCTTAAACTGGTCATAGCCACGACCACAGCACATGAGCTCGCAGCCATCCATGCCCTCTGAGGTCTTGTTGCAAAGGCGGCCCTGTGTGCCCAGTGAGCCTGTGCTCTCATTGCGCACACAGTAATCCGGGCTTGGGTCGATATAGACCAGGTCCTGCGTGGTTGGGGAGTTGAAGCGGCTGTTGACCTGTACCAGCTTGCCCCGGGAGTTCAGCCTCATGGCTGCTGCGCTGTCATATTTCTCCTTGAGGGCATCGCCCACCTTTCGGAAGTCCGCCAGCTGCAGCCAGCATGTCTTGAGGCTACACGAGCCAGACACTCCATGGCACTTGCAGGCTACATCTGCCAAGTTGTATACTGTCTGCAGAAGGAAAGGGGGAAGGTTACTGTGCAAATTGGAGGAGCTGATATACGGGCATGAGCATGGTGAACAAAGCTGTCCTCCACTTTCTAGGGGCAGTCATATCTTTTGGCTGAATCAAGGGTTGTGTTACTTCTTCACTCCCCATCACTAGATATATTGGTATCTTCTTTGAAAACTCTACAACTCTTGAGTTTTCATCATCTCATCTACAACTAACACATTCAAATGGAAACAGAAAACACAATATTCCAGTGGCCTCCACTTTTGCAGGGAAATGTCATCAGTACCATGTGAAGTCTATATTTCTTGCCTGTCTTCCCTGAATGCAGACCCACATCCAAGCCTCTGAAATGTTTGCTGTTATCCTTCTATTCTCAGAGAAGGGAACAGAGGCCTAGAGAGATGAGTTCCTACCCAACCACTGGGAAGTGGAGAGTGCCAGTATTTGAAGTTAGACAGTAAGCCCCACCAGTGACTTGGTAAGTGCTGAGTGAGGAAGGGATCCATCCCTAGAGGGATCAGTGTTCGCTCATCCTACCATATCACTGTGTCTCTCCACGGGCAGAACAGTCCTGGCACTTGTGATTTCATCCAATCATACTAGCAGCTTTGTAGCATGTGCAGGAATCAATGACAGCACAGTGACACTGCAAAGGTAGGTGGCTCACACAGGTCACACAGCAGGGTATAGGGGAACTTGGCCTGGGTCTCAGTTATGCTCCCTGCTATTCACTTCAGAGTCCCAACTCTGTCCTGTCCCACCCTAGGTCTCAAGGACCACCTTACGGCTGAGGACATAGAACGTCATATTTTGCCTCTGAATTTGGGCAACTAGCTGTCCCTTTCTTAGCCTATTTGCCACCTGTGGATGGTACCAACTTCCCAGCACAGTTAGGAGGATAAAATTGAGGAAGACAAGGAAGCACTTGGCACTCAAAACCCACTCAGTAAATCTGGTCGTTCTCCAGGGTGATGGGGCCATGGCCCTGGGTTTCTGCCCAGTCACCTCGGGCCTCCCAGGAGCAGCGTTCATAGGTCTGGCCCCACAGAACTGTGCCCAGCAGTCTGGGAGGTGGTGGTTGCCTATTTATAGTCCTGACTGCCCACAGTTCCTCATGCCAGCAAACTTCCAGAGTCATCATGGTGTGGCAGTGCTGGCCAGGGCCTGTCCAGAACCTGTAGCTACTTCTGCCCAAACAACCACCTTCCTCCTCCAAGGATTCACAAGGACTTTCTTTTAATAGGGGCCACAGTATATTCTCATTCCATGAAGACTTACAGTCTGAGGAAGGTTTTGTAAGTATATTTAACCTTTGCTCTCTTTTAAAGAAAACCAAAAGCTAATGCCCAAAAGCAGTTTTGATATGATTTCCTAGCATGGTGTACAACTTTCAAAGGTACCCAACCCCCAACAAAGAGAAGAGCTGGTTCCTGTGTAACCTTTACTCACCAAAATCCTTCCTTTCGTTCATCATTCCCATGATAGAACACAACCAAATAAATCTCACATTTCAAAATGTGACCGGATCAAAGTATCAACATCAAGGGCAACAAAAATAGCAAAGACACTTCTCAACTTCTCCAGAGGTCCCTCTTGCCACTTGGGAATGCTTGACCCTCTCCTGTCAGTGGACAAGCCCTTCAGGATTTCTTTCTAGGAAAGAAGTGATAATGATGGCCCAAAGATGGCCTGGGACATTTCTGGCTGGATGTGCCAGTCCAATCCTATAGAGGGGAATGATGCCAGGAGGATGGGATTCTGGGAATGGGCTCTTAGGGGGTTTCCAGAGAATGCAGCTGGACCCTCCTCTGCTCATCATGTGGACCCATGACAACCACAACCTAGAGAGGTGGAAGGCCTGAACAAGTACATGTTGTACTTTCTCTGTGGCCATTACCTGTGCCCCTCGGGGAAGCACAAGCAAAATCGCATTGCACTTAGTCCTTCCCTGTTACCCTCAAATGTTTACCAACCACTTTGAGAGGAATTTAGTGGAGATTATCTACACAATCTTTGACTTCTCTATGTCCTATTATTCTGTAATGTTTAATAGTTAATTTATCATTTATCAAGTACTGACTACTGACTGACACCAAGCTAGAATCTGAGATTGAACCAAAGGAAACATTGTTGTAGGTCAGATTTCCTATGGTGTACCCAAATACCTTTGTCTGCATAATGACTCCAAGTGGGAGTCATTGCCATGGCCACAGAAAGATGTGGAAATGTGGAAACTGAGGTTCAGAAACCAAGAGACCTGATTTTAGGCCGGCATCTCCAGTAGCCAGAGTGCAGCTCTTCAGCCCTAAGCTCTCAAGAAAGTTAACAGAGGTCTATCACACAGATCCACTGACTGTCATACACAGCCACTAAGTGGTCCTCTTGGCCTCAGTTTCCTAATCTGTGAGATGAGGGTGTGGGGCCAGAGCTTCTAAGCTCCTTCCAGTCCTTGGGTCTACACTGTGATTATCTTCCTCGTTCCTCACCCCAAAAATACAGAAGAGTGAAATCTGTGACCAGAAAGTTCCTGGCACCCACCTTGGGTTCTGTGGGGGAAAAAAAAATAATGGCCTTGGTTTTCAATGCTGCCAAAGTTAAGAAACATTTTCACCCCTTCATTTTAAAGCAGCCATAAAGTGCCATGTGTTTAACCGCAGGGGAAAGGGGGTCTTTTTTAAAAATATCTTGGAGTAGCTTTTCATATCTCCACCAGGGGAAGGAAAGAGCAGGAACAGGGGACTCGGGGGGCTTGGGGATTGTCAGTGTGTCTTCTCTGGACTGGCCTGCTGGCCAGACTAAAGCAATGCCACACTGCTAAAACTTCTGTCTTCTCCCTAACAAAAGCCCTTTGGAAAAACTCAGCCCATCAGTTCTGCTATATCCACAAGGCAGACAGGGAGAAAGAAAAAGAGAGTCCAAAGGTGGGGTGAGGCCTTGCTCAGTGGGGTGCCTAATGCCTTCCCTAACTGAAAGGCAGAAACAAATGGGTGAGCTCTAATACCCATTGGTGGGGACCAGCTACAAAGGTATACAACATACTTCTCAGAAAACAGCTGGAGCTCCTGGACCCAGGGCCTATTAATGGGACCATTCAGGCCCCTGGAGGGGGAAGCCTTTCTGGAATGTGCACCTCTCTCCAAAGAGGCCCACAAGGGAGGAAGTGACTTAAGGAAAAACAAAGAGGCTGAGAGGAGGAGAAGGAGGCAGAGGAAGATAGAAGAAACCAAGCACACCCAAGGTATGAGTATCTCCAGAGACCTGAGCTGAGTTAAGTTTAGCTCCTGTGCAGACGCACTGGGAGGAGGAAAGGCGGGGAACCATGGTACTCACCCTACGGCCTGCTTCATTATTGTGCAGGTTCATAAGGATGCGTGCGCTCTCATAGGAGCCCTTGGCATGGATTCGTTCCCGTTCTCGTGCATCCACGAATTCCTTGGCAAAGCGGTAGCCATAGTCGATGTTGTCTCCACAGCCGCCCCACAGCCAGTCCCGAGGCAGGTCCTTAGGGCGTGCAGCTCTGCTGCAGCCACAGGTGGATAGCTCGCCCTCGCGGCATGCACGGCTCATGGCATTCACCACCCCAGCTGCGCTCACCGCGTATGTGAAGGCTGTCTCTCTGCTGCCTGCGAGAGAGGATGAGCAAGCAGTAGTCACTAGATTGCCTGCCCCATGCAGAGGCCTAGATTTTGCTCTGTGTCTGTGTGTGTAGTGGTGGTGTTGTTGGGGGGTGCTAAGAAGTCCTCCAACACACTGGCCTGTGCAGCCTGAGAAGGCTGTGAGAGTCCTGGTGAAGTGGGGGGTCCCCAGTACACAAGGCCTTGAACCCAGTTGTGGAACAAGAAACCACTTGTCAAAACACAAGAGCAAACAGTTCTCAGGCCGAGACTGAGTGCAGAACCCCCCCCCCCACACACACACACACATGCACACACACAACAGCTCCCTGGAGAGAGAAGAGGGTGCCTTAAACATATAGCAAACCTGAATTATTTAGTAAAGGAGTGAGAGCACCCCAACATGCTTCAGTTGCTACTGGAGCAAACAAGCAGAGATAAACCTCAAGTCGACTCTCTACACTGGACCCCACCCTGAAAGCACACCCAGACGCCAGGCCCACCTTGGGGCAAGGATGGATCAGTTCACACACATAACGAAGGAGACAGGATAACTGCATCTGCTGGGACATTTCAGAGCCTAGTCAGGACTTCAACACTGCTGGATTGATTTCCACTAAACCCTTTTGAAGATATTCAAGATGTCTTATTTCCAAAAATGCACATGAAAGAGGTCATTGAAGGAAAGCTCCGAACTGGGCTAGACTTCCTTACGCCGTTCTAATGTCGGTATCATTTTCTTCTTGAACAGAACGGAATTCACTAGGCTTAGAGGCTTCTGCAAATCTCAGGTCCCCATCCTCTGCCAGACATTGCCTGGGGCGGCACAGTTAGTTTTCACCTGGCACCCTCCCTCTGCAGCTGTAGCTCTTCCCCTGCTCCACTGTCTGGGTTCTCCACTCTACCACCCCTACAACAGTGCTAAGCCTGCCCTGAAATCTCTCATTTGAAAGCAAGTGGTTAAAACAGCCTCCTGGTTGGTCTTGGTACCACATCTACTGCCACCCCTCATCCCCCTGACTCTCCTGCCCTATATCCCTACCCATAGCCTTTGCCTCAGAGTGGTGAAATGAAAACAAAAAGGAAAAGCAAACAGACTTGGGGGAGATGGAGGTGGGGGTGAGGGGTAGAAAGTGTTCTTCCCTCAGACTGGTAGAGATTATTTCCCCATAAAACACTCATGGGAGATCTGTTAGCAGAGACTAGCTTAAAGTTTGACTAGTATACACAGAAGTTTCTATATGTAACAAGAAGCAACTTAATAAACACCTGCACTATGAGAAAGGATTAGCTTTCTGCCCCCTGGATGAAGTTGGGCCTGGGTTTGGGCTAAAGATGGAGCCTCCCTTTCAAGATCAACTGTAAAATATGGGTATTGAAATGAATGCCCATGGAATAAAGGTCCCTTGTGATGCCCAAACCCCCTGTACCAGACTGGGTTTCTCATACATTTAGGAAGCTTGCTAGCAAGCTTTATGGGGCAGGGCAAAACAAAGCAGACCTCAGCAGGTCCCAGCCAGCCCCAAGGAGAAGGTCTAGCCAGGAGAGATGGTCCTGCTAACCCTGGTGCCTACCCTCTCTCAGGAAAAGCTCTGTCTCACAGCTCACTGGGGCCATTTGTGATCCCCAGGAAGGACCATGGCTTCAACTCACACAGACTCTCCTCTCCTGCACTTAACAATGAATAACTTCAGAAGTGTGCTAGTGAATGGCAGGGGGATCCATCCAGAAAGTTCCAGTGGGGCTTTCCATCTGTCTAGTTCAAATTAGACAGCAAAGTACATGGGGGAGTGGAAATAAATGAGGAGGGCAGGCGGACAGATTTCAGGGAGTTATTTGGAGATTAACACTGATAACACAGAAAATGCTGTGGCCTGGACCGGAGAGCTGTGGAATCAAAGTGTTGTGGATAGAGGAAGAGGAGATAAAATGATACTCTAAGGTTCTGAGGACAGGACACACACACACACACACACACACACACACACACACACACACACACACACACACACACACACACACACACACACACACCGTCCTTCAGGTACACAGAACATGAAGGGCTTTTATACAAAACACAAATCACCCAAACTTTTTTCATAGGTCTAGCTCAATTATTTCCATTTTCATCCAGAATGCAAAACCTGGTACAATCTCGAAGCTAATTGTTGACTGTAGAAAAACACCAGTTTGAAAAGTGCTATTTGGCTGGCGGCCTGTGCATCTATCTAGTCGCCCTGTTGCTCATTTGGTTGAGTCTCCCTCTGCATGAAATCTATTCTGACTTGGATCCTCACACCCCTTAAAAATGGTGCCTTCCTGACATCTCTTCACAGTGTGGAAACAAAGACAAGAGAGAGACAAAAGCTGGAAGGAAAGGGGAACACGATGAAAAATGAGAATGTTTCCAAAATGAAGCCTGGGCCCTTCAGGAGGCAACTGTGCGCAGTGCCTCCAGGGCAACTGGCACCTTAGAAAAATGAGCTGAGAGAGGGGTCAGAGGTGGCAGCAGGAGCTCCTCAGACACTGGCCCCTCACGGGGTCACATTCTCACAGAGTGAGTGTTATTCTCCACATCCCTGGGGTCCTGGGGGTTTTGGAGTGACATGGACACACCTTGGGCACCAAAGGTGTTTTCAACTGTCCCTAAGTTCATTGACTTCAACCAAAGCCTGAGTTAGGATAAAGAAGGTAAAGCCATTTTTCCATTCTTGGACTTCAGTCCCTGTTCCTTCTTATCCACAAAAATCAATTCTAATTTTTCTGCTCTCCTTTTTCTTTTTTCAAATAATTAAGAAGAAAAAGTCCCACCTAATCTTCCAGATGGCTTTCTGCTCTACGACAACCAGGTACTTGGGGAGGACCTCTGGCTACTGGGGATGCAGTCTGTACAAGTTTCTTGGGGCATCAGATGACCTACCCATAGCACCAGTCATTCTCCCCCTTCCAGGCTATGAGAGAATGGGACTCACACAAGCCCCACATCCCAGTCCCCACTGCCTAGTCCCCACAAGGAGTGATATAAGACCAAGGACCAAAGAGGGTACTAGCAAGGGACAATTAAATGCAGGCATTTGGAGTGTCAGGCTTTGAGGAGACAAGCACTTTGAATCTTGGGCCACATTTAAAATGAATCTCCAGCAGTACTTAGATTAGCTCATCAAATAAGAGCTTATTCAGTACACTGTGGCCCAGAGCAGGCCACATGTTGAAGAGGAAGAGGGGATCCTAAACCAAAGCTGTGTGCAAGTGAACACACAGTAGAGCACTTGCAACTGTCATCTTCCTCTAGCTTTTTCTAATTCCAGTGAGAAAGCAGTGGTCCTATGGTTCAAAAGGCAGTTGTGAAGCATATAAGAGGGAACACTGAAAGTTGACATTTTGATAGTTTAGAAGGGTTTTTTTTAGTTTTTTTTTTTTTTTTTTTTTTTTTGGTTCCTTTCTTGTAGTATCAGAAGGCAGGAATGTCTCTACCATATCCTGATGCATCTACCTTAAGGCAGCCTATATCCAGTAACCATTCCTAGTCCCCCAGGCTTAGCTACTCCAGTCAGACCCCAGGATATACATTAGCACATTTTAATCATTGACAGAAAGGACAAAGCCCCATGAACCCTGCAGGCTGGGGCTACAGGCTGTTCTCCCACTAGATTAGAGGAGTGGCTTCCAAACCTGTGTTATTTTAGTTTATGAAGTCCCTTGGCTCAAGCATCCACTGACAACTCTTTTTTGTTCTCAATGAATGCACTTTTCAGGGTTTTCTTTCCAAAGTATTTTATCCATCTGTGATGGATATTAAGCCAACTTTTTATCTCCGGTCAGTATAAACAGTTAATTGCCTTGATAAATTGCTTCTTACTTTTGGAGTCACTGCAGTCATATTAATTATAAGGGCTTGTTTGCATAAAACTACAGAGACCTAAAATATTCACACTAGAAAACACACAGAGCCCATCTGTCAAGTAGGATTCTAGACTATTGCAGAAAACCACAGACAAACTGAGTTTTCTCCCCCCCCCATTTTTTTTCTTTTGGTCAACCTTAAATGCTGTCTCCTCCCTGAGTGGATCAACAAATTCAACAACATATTTAACATTAAAACTCAAGCTGTAAGCAAAACACTTGAAACTGTTATTGCAAAGTTTCTGGGTTGAAAGCTCAAGCGTGTATTTTTCTGCCGATTGTTGAAAATCATACACATAAATTGTATCACTTCTTATTAAAATTCTTTCTGGGACTAAAAATAAAGCTTTTAACTTTATATATCTCTGTAGCCTCAGGAAATGTCTATATTAGGAAAATTAAAACCTTACTGCTAGCATTGCCAACGTTCTGAAAGATGACAACTTGGGCCATTTGGATAGTGCTTAAGACACTTCAAACCATCAGAAGAGCCTTTGGATTTAAATGGCTCAGCTTTCCTCCATCACAAATCAAGTATCCTGCTTCTACTTTAAACAAAATGCATTATACAAAAATGAAATGTTGCAGGGAATGGTGGTATCTGTGGTGTTCCCCTCCTGAATTTATTTGTTCAAGAAGTTTATAAACTGAAGGTCAGAGATGGGATCAGAATTAATGTCGTTCTGGATAATAACAAAAATCCTCAAGTCATCACCCAAGCTGTAAAGTGGACACCCTATTAAGCATCCAAGCAAGCATAAAGGTACAGAACACAGCAAACAGGCATCTCAAGTGCTTTCTTACCTATTTGCATCACCCTGCCAAAGACAGAGGTGTTGTCAACTGTGCTGCAGTTCCACCTCCGATGCCGAAACTGGTATTGACATTCTTTGATGCCTGTCTTCGCACCTTCTCCAATGTACTGCATGTGGTCCTGATACAAGTGGCAGAGTTTCTTCTGTCCTTGAGAAAGCCCTGCCAGTTGACTACAGAGAGGCTGTGCACCTATGATATATACCTCTGACATCTGAACAGGGTTATTCATACCTAGCGACCTGCAAAGGGAGGGGGAGATGTGCACTCAAGATTTACATGAACTCTGGAGTTAGCTGCCCCCCACCTCCCTGAAAGCACATCAGCAATACAGGTCTTGAAGCATACAGATGCCTTTTCTCTCCTGTTTGTCCGCATGACAAAGTATGAGAAGGGCTTCATAAAACTCCTCTGTTTAAACTCTACTAAGAAAACAGAGGTATTGTGTAGTCCCCACCCGGCCATCTGTCTCCCTCAGTTAGTGTTTTCACTGCCTTCCTTTCCGGTCACCACGTATCTGAACCAATATTTCTGAGATTCACTAAGAAAAGGGGTGGGGGGATGGAGGTTTTCACAGACCAGCCACTGGCTTTGGAGAAATCGACTCAGAGCCCACAAAGTAGATAGATCTGCCTTAAGAGTACAGGAACATCAAAAGTAAAGAGATAGCAGTATCTTCCGATGAATTGAAGAACAGAGGGGTGTCTATACAGTCTGAGGAAAATCACCCGTATTTTCAGACACATTAAAAGGGATCCTTGTGTGAATGTGAAGGATCCAAGACAGGAAATCCAGTGTCCAGAAGTCACATTTGACAGTCAGAAACACGCTATTGCTTTCCCAGGGAGAAAACATCCAACTCCCTAGGTACTTTGCAATCCAAAGAGAAGCCTCATTTAGGGACATTTGACTACTTCAAGTTCATCTCCTTTTGATCAATTTTCAAGTGCAAGCACGTCTCTCCTTGGGAATTAGCTGTCTCCTAGGACTCTACTACTTCAGACACTGTGGATTAATAACCTCAAATGACAGAAAAATAAAAGGAAAACTCATTTTTTATTTTACTAAGAGGTGACAAAAAAGTCATTTTTATAGATAGGTTTACAATTATTAGAGGAGTATATTTCCCCTTTATTATATTAGGTACTGCAAGCCCACGGCTCAACAAGGGCCTCATAGAAAAAAAAAAGCTGAGATTTATAGATTCGGGTTTCCCCCGCGGAACTGAGTATATGATTTACAAAATTAGTAGGTTACAAGAAAATTCATATTTAAAAGGCACATAGAACATATATGCATCTATATTAGATAAAAGTACCCAGGCTCACTCTCCAACTTTCAACACTGTAGCATACATAATACAAGTGTATTTTTACGAAGAGGAAAGAGTAGGCACACAGAACCAACTTACCACCAAGAATTAGCTTCTATTACAACCTGGGCGAAGGAGAAAAACATGGCCAAAGCCATTAGGAAGAACTTGGAAGACATTGCACCTCCAGCCGTCCCCAAAGCCACTCCCGGGCTTAATATTCCAATGGACTTCTGGAAAGGGAAGAAAGGAGCAGATGTTTATTGCCTTCGGATAGTTTTCAAGCTTACAAAGTTTAAACAACGGAAACATCCGAGGTCTCTTAAGTTTACTGTTGACTGTGCTTCTCCGTGAGATTTTTGATGGCAAGATATAGGCAGTTTCTTTTTTCTAAATTAATCCACCCACGCAACCTCACCAGGAAATCTTATTTCG